TAAGCACTGCTTAGCAACAACTAAAGCATTGGTGTGTTATCAACATTATTCTCACACTAAATCCAAACCACAGCACTGTACCAGTTACTAGGAAGAAAATTAACTCTATCCCAGGTGAAACCAGGACACTTAGCTTGTTGAATAAAGGAATAATTGATTTCTTCACTGGCTGATACTCAGAATGTGATTCTAGATCCGTATTTCTTTTGAATTAATAGGAACTCTAGATATTTCACATACAGTCTAATAGATGGAAAATACTTGCATCTATTTAAGAAGAAGAAATAAAAAAAAAAGGTTTTTCATGACCATAGTATTCTCATATAGGTGCACTGGCTTCTGCTTGTATAAATTAGGGTGTATACACATACAAACTCACAGACAACTCCTAGTAGAATACATGTGTGGTTAAATTACTCCATGTAGTATAGAGAGTATGGTATATACAGGAAGAGCTGTATTTCTTTATTATGTCACAGCAATCATTTATTCAAAGAGTCAATATTGCAAAAACATTGAGTGATTGGGGAGGAAATATAACTTATTTCAAGAAGAGTTAAGAGCAAAGTAGGCAAGCTTTCTTTTTTCTGAACTTTTCTCTTTTTAGTCACTAAGGTACTAATATATTAACAGTCTTGCAATGTTAGGATATTTATGCAGTACATTGTTATGCTGTGCTTAAAAGAATTTTGCTGAGGCAACCGTATAACAACTACAGTTCTAACTTCTGAATTGGTATATTTTTCAGCATTTCCAGTTTTAATAACTAGCACTTGAAAAAAACAGTGACAAATAATCTCATCATTTGAAAATATATATTTTTATATTCTATGGTAAAATAGTGTTAAGTAATATGGTAATTTTGCATTTGTTGTTATCTATCTTTGTTCTACTTGCAAAGGAAATCATTGGTGGCATGCTGGACTTGGAACCGCGGCTCTGGAGAAAAGGAATCAGACAGAATTTTGAGGATCAGAGGAAGAAGGTGTTGCAGTTTGCACAGTGGTGGAAACCATATGACTTTACCAAAAAGAAAGAATGAGTACATCCCTGCAGTCAAGGACTATATAAGCCATAAGTTATATTAAAGGATATTTCACATGTTAAGAATAACACCAGTGTGTTATGTATTGCTAATATATTTTAAAACCAAGGATATTGTTTAATTGCTGATTACCTGTTTCTGGTTTATACGCTGTGTGGATCACGTGAACCTGCAAGTCTGACAAACCACAAGTGTACAGAGTTTTTAGTTTTTCATTTTTTAGCTGAGCCAAAAGAATAATATCCATGTGGCCATTAGAATTCTTCAAAATGTAGCTTTTGCTTTTGGAGCTTTTATAATCTTTGAGGCAATTGATTTTTTTAATATTGTATTTAGCATAAAGCCAGTGCTTAATTATCACGGTGACTTTTTGTAGAAAATTATTTAGCATAAAGCCAGTGGTTAATTATCACGGTGACTTTTTGTAGAAAATGGTGTAAATTTTAAGAACATTTTGATTAATACAAGTACAGTGTTGCAGAAGGAAGCTGTACAGAAAATTATTTTCTGATTTTGAGTCCTTGTATTCTTTAAGTTGAGGTCATTGCAGTAATACAAATGTTCAAGTATGATGTGATTGATAAACCTGCTGCTGCCCCCCTGCACAAGAATTAATGCCATTTTCTGTATTTTCTTTCAATATGAAGTAGTACTTTCAAGCTGACCTGTTGCACAAAGGATAATGAGACAGTCCATAGCTGGTGGCAAATGACAGCTTTAATGGTAACAGTTACTTATGATGACAATAAAAAAAAAAACAAACAAAAAAGAGAGAGGACCGGTGAAGAACCTTAAGGAAAAACACTCTCCAATGTCCAAAAAAGAAGAAAATCGTCTCAGGGATCTCCCCAGGTGACTCTTCTCCCCTGGGAATCCTCTCTAGTGCAGCAGGTGGTCCGCCATAGTGCTTTTCTGATAATAACAATATAGTTTTTACTGGGAAGCTCCCTGCTGGTTGTTCCTGCTTGTGATGCTGTTAGTGCTGATTGGAGCACGCTCTGATCAGAGGCAAGAGTTGCACGTTAATTGATTGTTAAGCTTTGTGCACGGATGTCACTGGGAAATGCCTGTCTGCTATTTAAAGGACTACTGTCTACCGTGCTATTCACTAGGTTTTGTTTTTTGTCTTGTGTAAGTTACAAAATGGGGGTAGGAAAGGGTTGGGGGCAAAAAGGGAGATTCTCGCATCAATGTCAATCACTTTCCGTGGGGAACCTGACATCGCAGGCTTGGGCTTTGCAGGTGCAGAGCTGGGAGAACAGGACAAGGACGGAAGAACAAGGATGAAAACATGGCCACAGTGTCCTCCCAGTGGATAAGGGAAAGGGTGCAAACTTGCAAACAAAAGACGCAGTGCTACAGGGAAAGGCTCTGAGTGGCAAGTGGAAGGCCCTTAGCATAGCGGAGTTCAAGGCATCGTGCAAGTGTCCCAGTGTCCTTCCTGCTCTTTTCCTGCTGAACTGTTGCCCTGTACAGCTCTGTTACCTATTGTGAACTGCCTAGATTAAGAAATGGATCACTAAATATCATGAGGTTGAATAAGTGTTCATTTCTAGGCCCTTCGTGGTCTTTTGCAACTTTCCTGAAGAGCTAGTACTTTTTTTATTTTGCCATTTTGGCAAATAAATCTGGTAGAGGTAGAAATCTACTGGTTGTGAATTATTTTCTGTAGGATCTTTGTAAACTTGTGTCACTGCAAGAGAAATAACTTAAAAATAAGCTGTCATGATAATTTTGGTGATTTAATGTCTGATTTGTACTATTTTTCACCAGCAAGCCATGGATGAAAGAGCCAGTTCTACTGTTACTTCTCCAGTAAGTTTTGGTCTTCCTTAGGCTACTGGGGAGATTACAGAGCAAATAGGATGTGAAATAGTAGCTGCTAGTAGTTGCTTAGAATGTGGTAATGCTGAGGCAAGTTTAGGTAGAGTGCAGTCTTTGGTGGTGTAAAGCATGACTAAAAATTGTTTTCTCTGAAAGCATATGTTGCCTCCGGTCTCATCTGCCCCCCTGGAGGACAGCCAGGAAGCAGCAGAGGTGACTTGTCTTTTAAGGCCACGGAAAAGTCTTTATCCAGGGCTGTGCTGGAGATGCAGTTTTTCTAAATCATATAACTTCTCAAAATGCGTGTTCCTCAAGGGAAGCACTGTGTTTCACAAAGGATATCAAACTTGTACGTAGAAAAGTCTTCCTCTCTGACTCATGGTCTGTGCACATTTTATTATTCCGGTTTCAGCAAAACTATTGATACTCTTTGGACCAGAAAGGACTCTGAAATATGGAGTAAGGGTAACAATCTCAAGCTAGTGATACAGGAAAATGTGTCTTACGCTATTAGAAGTTTTCAGAATGGGAGACTGTGCTTACCACATACACTGAGAATAATATCTTGTGATTGGTCACAGACCAGACATGCATATCTTCAGGTTAAGCTGTTCCTCTTCATATCTCTAAATATTCATGAGGCTGTGAGAGTGAACACAGCTTGTTAGGGCACTTATGTGGAAGGCATGGTACGCGTAGACTTCAGTCCTTATAAATATTAAAATATTTTAAATAGACCTCCTTCATCTGGAAGAATACTCAATACCTGAATTATTTTGGCCCTAAGAAGCGGAACATGTAAATTCAGGTGCCTTTAGGGAGAACAGGGTTTGGAAGCTGGATTTCTTACATTGCTATAGATGTGCTCCTATGTACTCTTTGGGGTAACTGGGGAGGAAAAGGGACTTCTCTCTTCAAGTGAATCTCTGTGTGTGATTTAACAGATGTTAGAACATAGCCATGTCCTGCCGTGTCAGACAGGAAGATTCTTATGCGTAATATGTGCTGCTACTCTTCTGCTCAGTGTGTGGCATAAAATGCAATGTTTCCCTGCTATCAAGTCAGCTTTTTCCAACTCAGAGTATTTCCCCTGTTTGTATTTCCTTGCTATGCTGAAGGAATTGCATCCTCTCACCTGCTTTCCAGGTCTTTCAGGAGTTTCAAGGAAGGCATCCTGCACCAGCACAGCACCATTGCTGCTGCTCAGTCAAGCCCTGGATGAGGTCTGAACAGGAACTCAGACTCCAGAGCTTTTTATTCTATTATGTTTGCTACTACATTCTCTAGAGAGAACCAGGATGGATGCTATAGTCAAACAGATCGTCTGCCTCAGGCCTTGATACCTTGAAGATTCCCAGCCTGGGTCTCTGTCTTGGGGAAAATGAGCTAAACAGGCTCCTGTGAGATGTTCACTTTCTTCTTTGCTTTTTCTCAGGCTGTACTATTCAACCTGGTATTCCCTAGGCCCATGCAGTTGCTGTAGAAAGCTGCCTGATGCATGAGGCAGTTGACTTCATATTAAGGACCCACATTTTGAGTTTGTTATTTTTGCTCAAATTGAAGGAAAGCACCATGAATTTATACCACACCACCAGCTACAAAATGAAGTGCAAAAGCTGCCATGGTATCCTTATCCATAACCAGTGGTTGGTTGATGACAAGGTGATTGCCTGAAGTCATCTGTTGATGTAAACTGAGGTAATGTGAAATGAGGTTGATGTAAGCTGAGGTAAACTCAGTTAAAATGGAAAGCAAGGCTTTCTGCTAGTTACTGGTGTTCTTCCAGATGGGTAGTTCTGTCCACATTCCACTTGCTTTTCCCTTCTCCTTTTGTGTTTTCCTTTGGAGTAAGACAGTGGGATGCTGCATTTAGTGCAGTTTTGGTTAATAGTGGTGGATTGTTGCTTTGTACTTCTTAAAATACCTGAAAGAGAACAATGTGGATTTTTGTTGCTTTGCTAGAAAATCAATATAGCAACATTCAATCTTAGGTCTCTTTGGGCTGGTTTTTTTCCCAGTTTGTTCATTAATCCAGAGAATGAGTTATTCCCAGAGTCCTAATCAAATGTGATTTAGTGGGATTTTACATATTGAGTTCAACCACCTTGTTTTAAATATCATACAAGTTCTGACTGGAAAATAACGTTAAAATAAATAGTAACTCTTATGGCAAGAGTTTGCAATCAATGAAAGAAGCAGCATTTTGATGGGTCCCTTAAGGGTTCTGTCTTTGTTTGAAATTTCTTCAGCATTTCCTGTCTTCTGCATCTGTATTTTTATCATTAAAGCATGTTTTCTCTTTCTAATTCCAGCTGGACTGCTGGATGAAAATATGTGGAAACACAGGCTGCTATACTCTTACTTTAAGCATAGCTGTTTTGGAAACAAGATCCTTAATACCCTAGCTAAAAGAATCATAGAATCATTAAGGTTGGAAAAGAGCTCTAAGCTCATCAAGTCCAACTGTCAACCCAACACCACCATGCCCACTGAACCATGTCCCTAAGTGCCTCATCTACACGTCTTTTAAATACTTCCAGGGATGGGGACTCAACCACTTCCCTGGGCAGCCTGGTCCAATGTTTAACCACTCTTTCAGTAAAGAAATTTTTCCT